TAAGTCTGATTAACCATTTTCATCTAGCATTCATGACCAGAAGGTTTAAAATACATTTTAGGAGGGCAGAGTCTGAAATGTACTTGTTAGATTGGGACAGAAGCTGTGCATAAGTCTAAGTTCTGATTGCCTGGTTGCATTTGTGTTTTACTGCAAAGTATCCTGTTGATGACCCGGGAACATGAAGAACTTGAAATAAAAAAGAAAAGAAAAGGCAAATTGGCAGTCAGCTCATGAGAGAGAAGGTGATGGGACACATGGGAAAGAAGAATATTTCTTGAAGTATGTAAGGGATGGTCTATGAGAAGGAATGCTGTCTTCATGCAGTGAGTTTGGTCTCTTCGAAGCAGGAGAATCTGGCTGGAAAAGCCACGCAGGTGTGACACCACAGCTTAGACTAAGGAATGCTGGACAGATTCCCAGAAAACAAGGCAGCAACATGATGGGGTTCAGGTCTAGACTAGCTTAGAAGTTCAGAGAAAACAGATGTGCCCAGGGCTTCCACAGAAACACAGGAGGGAAAAGGTGAGCATCGCCCTGGGGTCGCTCTCATCCACTCCCCATTTCTTGCAGCTTTGCCTACACAACACAAAGATGTGCTCTCGCCGATCTTGCCACGACCATGGATCCTCATCCCACGGATGCCACGGACATGAATCATCCTGCCATGGCTCCAGCTCATCCATTAACTGCGTCATTGAGAAACCTGTGCCCATCTGTCCCATGCCACAGTGCTGCCCACCTGTGCAGCAATGCTGCCCACCTGTGCAGAAATGTTGCCCACCCGTGCAGTGCTGTCAGCAGAGCCAACAGTGCTGCAAGATCCCTCCACAGTTTCCCAAGTAAGAGCCACAGTGACAAGAAGGATGCCAAGATCAGCTCATTTCATTCATCTCCTTCAGATGGTGGCTTACCCTCTTCTGTCTGCTTTCATCAGTTGCTATCTGTGTTCTCTTTTCCCATGTACTTTAATTACAAAATGCCTGTAACTTGCTTTAAGACATCACCCTCTGCATGGAGTGAAGTATTCTTATGATGCATCATGTATGGAGTTACGTATGCTCTGTGTTTGTGAAAGTTTTTCTACATCTTTTCTTTTTCATGTCTCAAACTCGGGATGGGAATACAATAAACCTCATCGTTCCTGAAAGCAGCACTCTATGAGGATTTATTTATTTTTGACTCTTGGTCACTCCTATCATCATGTGTGTCCATAGACTTTAGAATATAATGAAAGAATACTTATTATCAGGGAATAATATAATCCCCCTAGAATCACGGAAAACCTTGGCCTCAGCTCAGTGTCATCAATATCTGGGGAGAAAACTCCATAATCCCCTCTGTGAACACAAGTTCCAATCTCTCAAAACATCATCTCAGAATGCCACAAATCCTTCATCTCCTTGGTAAATTTAGGAGGATCTTCATGCTTCTAGCTGTTCAAATAGGTGCCTGGCAAGATTGCCCCAAATGCCTTTCTCCATTCAATCCAATGATTCTTTTTAACAAGGCTTGAGCACCAAAGGCACCTGTACTCATAACGGGGTTTAATCCTCATTAAATGAAATAGGTTTATAAAATTTAAACTTATTTATTTTGGAGTGTCACATCAGTGTTTGCACACACTATGTTTTCGAACAAGTTAGGCCTGGTCCCTGGCTGGCACTGCAGAAGAGCAGGAGGGTTTCACACTGTCCCCCTGGCCTGGGCCTGGGCCCCCCCACCCCATGCCCTGCCATGCTACTGTGGGAGCAGGGAGCCAGCACACAGCACAAGAAAGAAAGAAAAAAGCAGAAACAATTGGAAAGCAGCAGCAGTTTGAAGGGATGAGCTACAAAAAAGTTGCAATTCCAGTGGACAAAGAGGTTCATTATACATCTTTGAGTGCCTTTGTGATTGTACGCAATGAATCCATGGATGCAATGCTTTAATTCACAGCCAGCCAAACTAAACTGTGTCCAAGGAGTTTTAGTTTAATGCATCAGAAAGACTTTTAAAGCATCTGGAAAACCCGTTCATGCACACAACCATGCTGTTGCAGCGCAAGAAAGGGCAAAAAACATGGCATGTACAAACACCCCAAGGGACTGCACAAAACCCCACGAAGCATCTCACTGCCTTGTCTTTGACACCTACAGATCTTCATCTCTCTGCATTTCACTGACCAGGGAAATAATCCTTCATAGTTCTCCACAGTCCCCACCATCTAAGAGCCCTCAAACATGGAAAGTGCCGAGTGTAAAAAGAGCATATCCCATGTCAGGCTCAAGGCACCAGCGTATTCCAGGTCTGAATACTCACCACTGGATAGCAGCCACCTGATCATTAAGCCAACACTGTCTCCCCATATTCGGTAATGAGGGTTGGAAGGGACCTCCAAAGGTCACATCTAGTCCAACCCCCTGCTCAAAGCAGAACCAGCTCCAACTAGTTCATCCCAGCCAAGGCTTTGTCTACTGGGATCTTAAAATCCTCCAAGGATAGAAATTCCACCACTTCTCTGGGGAGCCTGTTCCTGACCTCTCTGCATAACCTGTTCCAGATTTCTCAGTGCAACATGGTCCTACACAAGCTCCTCCTCTGCTTTCTGCTTCCTGCACTGTACTCCTTGCCTGATCTCCTGCTTTGCTGTCTGCTTCCTGCCCCACTGGCTGCTTGACTGGCTCTCCCTTCTCTGATCTGCCAGGTCCACAAACAGAAGCTGCCCATGCCACTCGCGGCACTAATACCAGAGGCTGCCACCTCCACCCTACCAAGTGTTCCATGGAGATGCCCAGCTTTGCCCTTCACAACACAGAGGTCACCTAAACAGAGTCCAGCTGGGGCAAGACCCCAAGAGTTTAGGAGATAGGATGCCTAAATACAGGCACTTCCTAAACCCATCAGATCTGGCACTCTGAAGACACTTGGGCATGGAATTTACTCAAAGTCTGAAAACACTGATACTATGGCATGGCTAAATCACTTCCTTCAGTTCAGTGAACCTATGTTTTTATAAAGGAATGGGAAGATAAAACTGTTCTGAAGGGAACCAAAAAAATCTAGGAAACCAAAAAGAAACCAAAAAAGTCTAGAATACAGGATTTTCAGAGACATGAAATTTGAACATGCCTAAGTGACATGGGACCAAGAACTAAACTACCCTTGTTTTAGAAGCTTAAAATCCCACTAAACACAAAAGTTAACATAAAAGGAAACAAAGAACTGTCAGAGACTGAAAAGAAAAGTACACACGATTCCAGCAGACGTGAGCCTGCATTCAAGGAGGACTATTGAAGGATGACAAACATCAGTCTATATGTATATATATTGGGGGAGAGGATTTATCTTTGAATGGCAGGTTGGATATTTCATAAGTTGGATCCATTAAGTAATTTAATTAAAAAAGGCCACCACAGACAATGCATCACAAAAACAAAGCAGCAATAACATTCAAAGCACTAGTAAGACAAGTTATTGCATCAGAAAAAGAGTCTAGGTAGATGAAAAACAAGATTGAGAAGCAAGTCCTCCTGCTCCTAAATCACACCTCCAGCACTGTCTCCCTGGGTGCCCCATTGCCGTGCACCCAGGCTTCCCCATCACTACATAGCATGCCAGGAGGAGTTGGCATTTTCCAGAAGTAAACGCCCTTCCACTGACTCAGTAATACAGGTAGTCCTTTGCTAAATCATTTTTCTCTCTGGTATTAACATTGCAACATGCCACTGAAGGGCTCAGTGTCACAACAGACCTTTATGTGCCTCCCTTACTCCCGGTCTGATGTATGGATTCATTTGCATTGAATCAGGTAGGACAAGAAAACATTAGAGTATAAAAATGTATCAAACAGTAATTACAATAAGACTGATACAACAGATGCACAGGGATCTCAGCATGTCAGGAACGAAGTCAACATTGCCGACAGGCACCTCACTTCCCGCAGAATGGCTCCACACCATATAAAAGTGCTCCTGTCCTAGTCCTCCTCATTCAGCTCATGGTCTCTCTCCACATTTCTCCTTCCTG